TATGAATCAGAAATTTTTATTCTTTTTATAGTCTAGGTGCATACCTAAAGTTTTGTTTTACGTAGTTTTGAAGATCAAATTAGGTAGGTGACGTCCCCCATTCTCCATTCTCCATACACTGAGTAAACCAATTTCTGGCGTTTGTCATGACTTTTGCCAGCATAGCAGGCATTATGTTGGCAATTTCTTCCTGGATGTTGGTCTTCAAATCTTGTAGGGTCCTTGGACGGTTCACATAAACATGGGATTTCAAAAGAAACCCATAGAAAAAAATCACAAGGGGCCAAATCTGGAGAGCGGGCTGGCCACTCCAAATCCACTCAATGGCAAAAGCACGCTCCTCCATGTTCCAACGCATGATGGCGACTGAACTGTATCAGGAGAAAACTTTATACTCCCGCCTCTCGAACGAGACCAGTAGCGCTCCGCTACATCTTCAACCGACTGAATGGCGCACATTTTAAAAAAGGAAGGTATACTGCCTCACTCTGTACATACACACACACATACAGTGGGAAAAATACTTTTTGTAAAAGAAAATAAATTCTCCCAAATGTGTAGGCTCTTGTTGCAGTGGACCACTTTGTCAGTACAGCATCTCAATGTTCCAAGATACCCTTTCTCACCGAAAATAAGAAATGTGAGTATTCTTTATACCACTTTACTACAACATAGTTTGCCATATATATTAAATATGTCTATCTTAATATTTCCTCTATTCTATGCCACCCTTCCATTTTTATTCCTTTCTATGCCCTTGCTTTAAAAAAAAACTTAAAAGGAGGAAAATACTACCTTGGGATCTACTTTAGGTCTTCCCAAAGTGGGCTTTGGGGAGCCTCCCTAATGAATAGCAATGCCCTTACACACATGCAAACCTCCTGTGGTTCGTACATGACCTTCATGGGTCTCCTGTGCCATCCACTGACCAATTGTGTTCAGAGACTGATCTGCTTTCTGTCTCCATGTTCAGAGACTGGCAAGGAAGGGAATTCATTCTTCCTTGCTCATGAGTTTCTTTCTGAAATAGAACACTAATGGGACATTCCTTGATTAGATGCTTTTCCGTCTCCAAGCCTAGAGAGCAGACTACAGAACACACCAAATGAAATGTCTTAATTTCTCACTATCTGGTTGGAAACTGCAACTGCCTACCACATCTGGCCAAATATTTTATTCCCCCTGCCATTTCCTCTTTTTTTAGCATTCTAGACTTCTGCTCCAATAACAACTTTGTTACAGACAGTGTATACCTTCTATAGAGATTGTTTTTGTTTTTGGGCCTTCAGCTGATTCCAGTTATAGTGGCACTATCCTTGTGTTATTTTGGCAGATTTTATCAAAGGATGGTTCCACTGCTTTTCTCTTCAGGCTGAGGGAGTATGACTTTCCAAGATCAACAGGCAAAGGAAGAGACAGGTCTGCACATACAGTCTTTCAAAAACCTTTCAAGATTAACCTATTTTGTAAAAAGCCCTTGGCATTTTGGCCTTTATATTGCATTGAATGGTCTTCTTAAGGGGCTATACTATAACCAAACACCAATAGGAAATTAAATTTCAAAATTTAGTAAGGATAACACATATTTCTAATTAGGTTTATATAAAATCCCCTAATGGTTAACATTACTTATAATTTAACAATTACTTAATTGTCCAATGTGTAAAGCTAAAGCAGATGCCTCTAGTTCCCTGGGGACAGTGGGAAGTGTGAACCACAAATACCACTTAGTATATGAATGCAATATTGCATTTCCTTACAGGATTTTTATAGGGATTATAAAGAAACGTACAGCAGGTTATATCAAAGGATACTGGGATGTTTTTAGGAGTGGGGAGCAGAACATGCTTGATTTCTAAAGTAGATGATGTTGATTATTCAAACTTTACGGTTGCACTTTCTGCTTTTATAAGCTCTTTATGAAATGGAAACTACAGTTTTGAGTAATAACCTTCCACGTCATTTCTGTATCCACATTTATTCCAGTGTTCAATCATTTTTATTTTTCCCAGGATTACATCTATCCTTGTTCAAATGCACTTTACACATTTTCAAAAAGACACGCTTGAATATTCAGAACTACCAATAGATCTGGCAATAGAGATCTGGCCAACACTAGCACAGAGTCATCCAGTTGCTGGATGGGATGAGAAGCAATAGCATCAGGAAGAGGCACAGATGGAAAAAGACAGGTGTGGTACCCCTCACAAATGTTAACTCGGCGATTCAGGTAGCATCTTCCTGCTGTAAGTTGATTTCCTCCAAGGCAGTGTAATGTTTCTGTTTCTTTCAACTTTATTGTCATAGCAATTCTGTCAGGTAGGTCAAGCAGAGAGAGAAAGTGGCATCTGGTATGTTAAATAGCTTAGTGGATTAGAATCTGGTTCTCTCAAGATCCAGTCCAACACTTTAACCAGTATGTGTTGATGTATTTTAACATACCTGTTTTTCCCCACCTTAATCCCTAGAGAAAGGCAGGGTAATAACAAAAATAATGACAATACTAGAACTACTACTACTACCTCCACTATAATACTATACAGAATCCCCTCCACAACAAAAGAAATGGACTTATGACTAAAAAAATGGTAAACTTCTAATGATGATGCTCATAGGGCAGCATTGTTTTTATTTATTTCATACTGAATAACTGTAATATTACTTGATATGAAAAATGTATTATTACAATCAGTATTAATATTATTAGTATTTATGTTCCACCTTTTCCACAATTACCCATTTTTTCAAAGTGTCTTATAAGAGATTTAAAATAGTCAAAATTCACAAAACAAAAAAGTTAAACACTGATTAAATTTTAAAAATAAAAGTAAATAAAAATAAACTATAAAAGACACTACAGCATGCACACACGTGTGCACATGCACACTAAACGTAAAAAGCCAGCACATCTTCCATGCTGCCTAAACAATCAATCCTCAAAGACCTAAGAGAACATAAAGTTCTTCACCCATTTACAGAAGGAGTGTAGGAAGGGTGTTTATTTAACTACTTTGGGCAGCCACTAAGAATGCTTTCTCCTACAGTATGTAAGATGTTAGATGACAAGAAGTGGGGGGAGGGGGGAGGACTAACATCAATAGAATACACTATATTACGATTGTATAGGTGAAGCACTCACCACTACATGTCTGAAAAATAAAATGTCTGTAACAGTCCTATGTTTCGTGTCAGGAGTTAGGTATTAGACTCCTTTTGGGAATGGCTTTCTCTTTGCTTCAATCTATTAGCCTTTAAGATGCCTCCCAACTCTGTTGTTTTTATTGCAACAAACTGACATCGTTTTCTGGTGGATAGAAGACTGTCAAAGTGAGTTGACTTGGACAGTCCGTACCACTCCTAGCCTGTATGAGATATCGCTCCAGCTCCAGCAATGCAATCCTCTGGTGGGGATATGACCACAGAAAAGACCAAGATAGGACTAGGCGGCACTTACATTTCAGAAGAAACTTCAGAGTCAGCTGGTGTACAGCTGAATATATTGCTAATGTAGCTTTGATACTATGAATACCTTGCTATTATCACCAATTATTAAGACTGTTCTTAAAATGCATAAATGCATGCCTCCCAGCAACTGGCTATATGATTAGCAAAAAATAATTCCACCCCTGGCCTCCAATGGAATAATTGGTCTGTAATTTTATTCTAATTGCTATGTAGGCCACGAAGCAAAGTTTCATTGTAGTATGATCTCATGCACTGGTTCAGTTGCTGGATTTCAACTTTATATTAGGACAATTTATTTAGAGGACAATAAGGTTTTAGGATTGTAATTCTATACACACTTAGGAGGAAGCCTCACTGAACTTTATGGGACCTACCTGTGAGCAAACAGGCACAGAACTGGACTTTACAAAAAAAATTGTCCTTTTCTCAAATATGAATTTCAACCATGTTTTATATGCTTGGCTCAGGAGTATATTATTTAAATCAAACTGTTACAAGAAAAAATTGCTACAACATTCCATTTTATTTTTATTTATATAAAGTGTTTTAAGAAGTTTATAAATACATGGTTCATGGGGAGGAGAACAAATATATAAACTATTTAAATGTTTAAAATTATAAGGTACAAGTTGAGGATCACTGTACGTTAAAATTCCAACATCTAAAACACTCCTAAAATCATCTACTTGGGTAGCTGAGATATTGGTACCATTGCTTTCTGATGGTTCAATACTCAAAATTAATCTAAATATTTTATAAAATTACCTTTGGACTATGTATATAAGGTATATATGAAACATACATGAATTTTGTGTTTAGGCTTGGCTCCTATCTCCAAGATATCTATACATACATGAAAGCAAAGATTTCTGAAATCCAAAAACACTTCTCATCCCAAGCATTTTGGATAGGGGATACACAACCTGTCCACACCTCAAATTTTAAATGCCTATAAGAATCTAAATGTATGATATTTTCCAAATAGACATTTGGCTTTTGCAACCTGTTCTTCACATATTAACATAGTATTTTTATTTCTCTAATACAAGCTGACAATCTGTGTCCAACCAATTATTTACCAATCATTTCTATTCACACAAAAGAGGACTGGTGAAAACCAACTAGGCTATGAAAATTCAATAAGTATGTGAATGAGGGCAAATGCTCTAATACCATGACTCTTAAAGCTGAATGTAAAAATGACATACAATGCAAAAAGCAGGATTGTTGAAGGATTAAATCATGCAGCAATAGAATGGAGGTCTACTGATGATCTGATTGCAAGCAACCTCATAACACACATTTACACTGTAAATATTGAAGTCTCATTGCCTTTGACTTCAAAGGCAATGAAACCACCCCCAGACTGCTCCCAGGCAATGAAACCATCTGTACAGTATCAGATCAGAGGAGCAAATGTTTGCCTGCTCTCTGTCTTGGATAGGCACTTGAAACAGCAACTCCTTCACAACCTGATGGCAAGGGGCACCATGGTTCAAGTTCAAGTCCACTGGTGCGCTTTGCTGAGGCCTCACCTCTGGGTCCTGTAATGACAGGTCGATGATGCTGTGTGAATGCCGTTCCAAGGGAGGAGGTCTGCGAAGGCGAGGGACTGCTGAAACCAGACTTCTCTGACTTCTTTAATGTAGTTGGCGATGGCATTCCTGGCAAGAATGATTGATAAGTGCAATTTAATAATGCTAGGTCATGGAAAAACAGCCTATGCATTGTGAAAGTGGGTGCAAAAGCAGATAGATAAACTTAAAGGACAAATTAAATTGCATAGAACAGCAAGCTTGAAAGCTCACCTTTATTTATTATTGTCTTTGGGGGCAAAGGGTTGGCTATCACTGGCATAAAGAAACACCTATTACAATGAGGACACCTTTAAAAAAATTTGAGGGAGACTCACTAACATGTTATTAGTATGCAAAGGGCTCGTGTAGCATCTTAGTGACTGAGAGAATGAAGCTGGTAGCATAAGCTTTCACAGGCTAAGTCTACTTCCTCAAATGAATACCATAGTATGCTGTGCAAACATACCCAAAGGTTTTGTATTTCTATGGCTGTTCTCACACACAGTCAGCCCATAAAGGTCACTTCCTAGGGTGTTCATTCTATGTCTCTGAGGAAGTGGACCTAGTCTATGAAAGCATACGTTACCAACTTAATCACTTACTTGGTCTCTAAAGTGCTACAAAAACCCTTTGCATATTGATATTCCAGACTAACATGGATTTGACTTCTACTGACAGGTTACTTGCTATCATTCTTATTAAGCCCTGTTCTTTACATTTTAATGGCCTACAATATAGATGCAGGAGCTTACTGTTTTAAGAAACATATTTTAAAGTCTGTTCTTACATAAACCTTCTACTTGCTCTAGTTTATGTCTAATGAAGTGAATAAAACTCTAAAATCCCAGAGGGTAGACACGATGAAGTCATCTCTGAGATTTCTGGATCAGTCTTGTGAGTGAGAATGAAGAGCAGTGCACAAGAATCCAGATGGCAGTGGTCGGGAAGTTCTAGGGATATACACAAAGTTGAAAAAATGTTTTTGGGAACTGGGTGGGTGGACTGGATGAATGTTTTAAAGAGTTCCAGATGTTTCTGAACTAATGAATGTTTTTCTTAGCATCATATGAATGGGGTTTTATATCAGTCTATGTGTTTACTTTGCTTTATATAGCATTAACAGAGACTTCAGTGGAGGACAGACCTTCCATCGAAGTGAAGAAACTTTCTTCTAACACTGATTGCATCTTCAGCCTTTTATGCTGAAAGTAGGAAGACTGGATGTTGCCTTATACCAGGTGGTCTGACTATTTTTCCATTGATCCCAGTGCTGAGTAATGTGACCAGCAGAGAGTCAGCTGAGGTCTCAGTCAAAGGTCTGACTCATCAACTGTTGCCTAAGGAATTAAGGCCTGGGACTTTTCACACACAAAATATGTGGCCTATCACTGAACTATGATTTCTCCTTGTTTTTTTTCCAGACTTATTACTCACTTTATATTAGATTTAATTATTATGTTTGTGAAAATTTATATGCAATATATAAGAGAGACTACTGTGTACATCTCATATTTGGTAAATATATTGCCTAAGATATACATACAGTAAAAGGGAGATGCAAGAAAGACATGGATGAAGTCTTTCCAGCAATGTGTTAAGTGGGATTTACTCATGGGTGTGGCAGCTTAATGACTTTTTGTAGCTTTTCTGTCAACCCAGCAAATTAACTAGTCTGTAGAACTGTATTATTTTAAAAAAAGGTTGCAATCATGAAGTCATGAGTGCTAATCCTCCGCCCTCTCAAAGGTCTTTCTTCTTCCAGAAAAAGAAGAATTGTCCTTCATGGGAATCTCAAGGAGCACCAATGCTCTTTTCATACAACCAAAAAGAGAGAGACATTCTCCCCTACTTATGGGGGTTCTCATACTACATTATAGCACTATGATTTTACTTTAATTGTCATAGCATCCTATGGAAGTTGGGATTTGTAGATGGTGAGCACTAGAGCCATCTCTAAATGGCAAATTTCAAGATCCCATGGCAGTTTAAAGTGGGATCATAGAACTATAATTGTGCAGTGAAAGGACTTCTGACAACTTCTAGTGTTTTTTTAAAAAAAGGAATAATATCTCCTTGTTTCATCTAATAATAATAATAATAACAATAAGAATAATAAGAATAATAGCTTTATTTATATCCCACCCCCTCTCCCCAAAAGGACCTGGGGCAGCTTACAACAGAAGAACACAATATAGATGATAATAAACATACCACCAAATCTATTAAGGAGTCTCTTTTAGAGTCCTGAATCTTTGGTAAATTGAAGGAACTCTTCTATTAGTGAAATAGACAATGTGGGTCTAACCTATTTTTTTATTCTTTTACCATATATTTAAGGAAATGTGCAAGTATAGGGATTTACATACATACTATAAAAGTCTACTCGACTGGCATTGATTTGATCAGTGGTTCTCAGCCTGTAGGTCCCCAGGTGTTTTGGCCCACAACTCCCAGAAATCCCAGCCAGTTTACCAGCTGTTAGGATTTCTGGGACTTGAAGGCCAAAACATCTGGGGACCCACAGGTTGAGAACCACTGGACTAGATAGTCTTCTCTTCTGAGTCAAGCCATTTAAAAACCCACTTAAACCCAAAAGGGCTTCTAAATAGACACACATACCTTTGCACTATAGCAATGCAACTCTTATTATTATTTGGAAAAAAGACCCCATTGTGTTTACTTCCTTATAAGTATGTTCAGTGTTAATACTGTTTTAATATTTGTATATTGTGAGTTGTATTGCAATGGTTTTAGTTGTGAGCCACTTTGAAACTCCATATGGATATAAATAACCATAATAAAAATAAATAAATAGGGTTGCATGCTAAATGTGGTCATATGAATTAAATTCAGAGTTTAATTAAATTCAGAGTTCTGTTTAAGGTTGGATGACATGAATAGTACAAATATGAGGTTGCAGCTGATGGTTTATACTGTAAAATTATTATTATTTGGTACATAAAGGTGGCTAAGCTCCAGTCTCATGCAGATGTGTCACAGTGTGAATTGTTTCTAAAATATATGCATAGTCTTGGCACGTAGGGGTGAGAGATAAAGTACAACTGGCATATTGTGTCGTGGTTGGGAGTATGTCCTATATCTGAAGCCTGACCTCACCTTTTGCTGCTCTGTTGCAGCACACAGACATGTGAGCATTTGGGTTTGCTTTCTGATCTAGGTTCTAATTTGGGCTTGTACAGATAGAGATGGTATATATATGTGTGTACTGGATTTATTACGTAAGTCTTAATTTGAAGAAAACAAATAAAGGGACTCCTAATGTGAGTGTTGTGTTAGGCGAGGTAGAATAAGGTATTATCTGACAAATTGTTCTAGCACTGTTATATATGTATATTTTAAGTGTGGCTTGAGTAAAGTTGATCTCAGACTCAGCCCCTTGCCACAATATGTAGCTTCTAATTGTAGTGTGTTTTATAGGGCATTCTTTAAGAAATAACCAGATAATATATGTGAACTGTTGCAGAAATACTAAGCATTAAGCACCAAATATTCTGATTTATATGATCATTGCAAAATATAAAGAAAGTTAGTCACAATAATGTCCCACTGAAATTTTGGACATAAATTTACTACATATATTTTCTACTTGTCCTATTGATTTCTATGGCACTTAAACATGACACTTCCTGGTATTGGCCGCTAAGTGTTATTATCAAAATCATTTGAAGAAGGAGATTCTTCATCTATCTATTTATCTATGACCTAAGTAAAATTTAGGAAGTAATTCCCAATGAATCCAAGGAGTTTTTGAGTAGACATGCATAAGACTATACTGTTAATATGTTTGTTGGAGACAGAAATATTTCACAACAACCTTATTTAAACCCCTTTATACATATTAACCGGAATGGCTTTAAAATTGTGTGAATGCACACATACACGTTTACAAATTACAAACTGTAATTTGTAACTTAACAGAAATGTATGAATGTATAAACCCATTTCATTCAAAGGAATTTGGAGACTTGCTTCTTTTAGATATTTTGAGGTGTTCTAAATAAACTAGAACTGCACATTTCTAGGAGTATATTTTAGGGTCTAGAAAATCTTTTAGGAGCGTTCTCTCCTCTTATAAAACTTGAGCTAAGATGGAAAAGACTTCATTCTTCAAGATAGCTGTGCTATTATCAGTAATAACAATAAAAGTAATATGAAATATATTTTGTCCTTTAAGACAGAAAAGTTATAGTGGGCATGTTAGACAGTGCAAAACAAATAGCATCATTCACATTTTATGGTTCATTAGCATGGTGTTCCAAGCAACAGAACTGAAACATTAATTTGAATGGGTTAATAAAAGGAGGCATACAGCCAGCATGCAAGAATGGAAAGTTCTAAGAAGCAGCTAAAATAAAATAAATTTAGTTCTTCATCATTAGCTGAATGACACTGTCCTTAAGACTACAAGGCAAGTCAGCGTTTGTGACATATTTCAGAAGATCTGCTGTGTCTTAAAATTGAAACTGTAATTTAGCACCACGTTTTGTTAATGTTCTTGATACATCCCACATGTTTCTTAGCCTATTCTCTTTCATTATTCACATGGGCAACTGATTTGTAACTGCACCTGATTTGCTATTCCTAATCTACATCAAATGATGCAGCCATTGGTGTTCGAGACAAATGATACAGTGGTAACAACTGGACACTGAAGTCAAAAAGGATTAGCATTTTGAGTATTTGGCTGACGATCAGGTTATTTGAAAATCTGGCATTTTCAAAGTGATGCCACAACACAAGAGCAATTACCCAAGCTGGTAGGATGCTTGGAAAATCAAATCTAAATAACTAATAAACCATGTTGTATGGTTGTTCATGCAGCACAGTGTTAAGATAATGCCTTAGTGATGCTAGTCCTAGTGCAGGGAGAAATCTTACTCCTTGTTCTAGTTAACAGAAGCAACAAAATTTGGATTCTAAAGGACTTCTAAAGGGATGGGAAGGAAGCCCTTTTCACCTAGCACTCAATCTTAAGGTCCAATTGACTTTCAAATATTCCAAACATTGCTTCCCCAATATTTTAAAGAGGGTTACTTAGGATATTTTTTAGGACAAACCATGCAGTC